TGTAGATTTTTTTATGGATTCACTGGCACCTTGGGCTATCCGACTTACATGGAACCTACACGCGCGAATCAAAAGACAAGATCAGACGTTTCAGTCTTTTTAAAACAATTCCGGACAAATGATCAAAACTGAATTTGCAAAACGACTCATTTATCACCGTTCTAAGACCCATTGGACATAATACATTTATATTTTGGATTCAGCCTCCACCTTTTCCAAGGCTTAAAATTCGAAATCGATCAAAATTCATCATTCTACTTTCCATGAATCCAATCCTACAATTCAAAACGACCTCAATATCCCATATTGCGACATGTGATTATTTATAGAATTTTATTGTGAACAACGGTCAATAATTTTAGATTATTCTGTACTTTTAAATGACTAAGCAAATAGAGTTCAAAGTAATTAAGGTGAAATGTAAACAATCATTTTTTAATGGAAAAAAAAAATCACAAAATTACAAACAAGTAAATTATCCGCCGTTAGGTTTATTACGTTTTCAATAAAATAATTAACATTGACGTCATGTATGATGAAGGATGTTTTAAACAATCCATAATTTACATTTTCAGCGATGTCATGCGAGTTAACATGTGAAGTTAACACAGTCATACATGGAAAAACATGTTCCTCGTTAATGCTCCTCTTCAACGCCTCATTGTGAACCAAAATGGTGTTTTTTATGTTAAATTTTATAATAATAATAATAATAATAATAATAATAATAATAATAATAATAATAATAATGCGGCAAGATGGAATGTCTGTAGAGATAGTATGAAAGAAATTAAGCCAGTTGTACATAAGTGGCCAACTGAGGAACTTGAGAGAAAAGAACTTGTGATTCTCACTAGATTGCGAATAGGTCATATCAGGCTAACCCATAATAGGCTTTTAATAGGCAACAACCTTCCAACTTGTCCTCGATGTACGCGAAGTGGAGAACGCACNAGAGATTAGACAGACAAAGATGATCATGATTTATGTGGTGGTATTTATGTTTGGTGACATTTGTTTTTTCCAAGTTTTATTGCTCATAAATGCATTCAATCTTAATACATAAAAACACGAGATATCTACCAAGAAATATATAAAATGAAATGGCCCTTTTTTCTCCAAAAGTCGGAACAGGGGCCTGACTACTCGCTGCCGTTCTCAAGCATAATTCTCATACCAGGTGGCATTCTCCAATTAAGTGGTACATGGTGCCACCTTTTTCTACATGCCAGATACAGGTTTTGACCCAAAAATAGGTGCCTGTGGGCTATCCTTGCATGGACTATTCTTAATTAGGTGTGATGATCCCTCTTCTATGATTGAGATCCTCCGAGGTCCACCTATCAACTGCGCTCTTGATACATAAGACTTTCTCTGCCAATATGGCTTACCTATAATGACATTTACATGATAGCATATTTTTTATTGCTTTTTTAGACTGAGAGACCTGGATCGCGTTGGTCAAGTTCGGAGGACGTCTTTTCGTTAGTCTCCAGACATGTGCGTTTAGGCGACACATATAGTTAAAATTGGACCAAGTCAAAATTATGTCTCCGGTAAGTAAATAGTAAATGGAACTGTGTATCGCAAATAGCTAAAACCGATTTGAGGAAATTTTTAAGAAATAAACACTGAAAGACGAAATGTTACTAGAGCCAAGCTTAACAATTTACCTCGGGGAAATTAAGGTCGTGATTGTAACAGTTTGAACAAATTCGTGAAGAAAAACAAACCCTTTGTAAAATTCCAAATTGAGGGCAGTTTAATTATTGCTCACAAGGATAACTGACCGAGGTACCGTTCATCCTGCAGCTCTTGGTGTACAAAAGCGACAAGATAAGAAGAGGGCTTTGGCTCCAGTTGGCCAGTGCCTCACGGAGCAATTAGAGCAGGTCTAATTGTTAACTCCTTAAAAATCACAGATTCAAACGTTTTCTATAACTAATTTAATAAAAGTAGTGACACATTAATTTATTTTAACTACCATTAAAGAATATGAACATTTAACAACATCCATATGAACCTTCTATGGTAATTTATGACAACATATTTAGATTTATTATAAAAAATTACGAAAACTGTCGTTAAATAACCCCTTTTGGTACTCGTTGAACTGTTCAATTTTAAAATTTATCAGAAAGAATTCTCATCAATCGTGCCAGATTATCCTTAAATGATTGAAACATTATGATATTAAGATTATTATATAAGATTAAAAGATATTAAAATTAAATGTTCGATCTTTTTTTACTACGATAATCTAATCAATGTTCGAGTGGAAATTAAACAGGAAAAGAACAGAAGATCAAAAAGACCCCGACTTAATCCTCCAAATACACTGACAAACAACACTAATATCTACACCATTGTAAACTGCTCAAAAATGAAAAGGGATACTGCCAATTTTGTAGTATTTATTTCCTTAGCACTTTTATTTTTATTATAAATTGCATTAAAATGTATTAGAAATTATTCTTGTTTACTGAAAGAAAATTTAATTAAGGGATTTTGCAAAATAAGAAAATAAAAGGTTTTAATTTCATATTTTTGTTTATTGGATACAATGAATTTTAATTAAAACAAATAAACAATTAATACCGTGTATAACGTCCTCTACTATGTGTGGTGATTAGTGACCGTTAATCGATAATTATTCAGAAATCGTGAGATGCGGTCTGGTGTGACGTAGGTTTCAGAAAAACATTTTCTTTATCGTGCCAACGTTTCGACCTTTATTGAGATCATCTTCAGGGCTCAAAGTGTTTGTCTTCTGTGTAATTGTGCCATTCTTGCGTGTCGTGTTGAGAGTGATAAAGAAAATGTTTTTCTGAAACCTACATCACACCAGACCGCATCTCACGATTTCTGAATAATAGTCCTCTATTATCTAAAACCTCTGGGCATCTCTTAGGCATATTGTTAATAAGGTTGTCACTAATTTCATAAGAAATTTCACTCCATAGATGTTGCAACGCTGCACTCAGTTGTTGCAGATCAACTGGCGTGGATAATGATCGAAAAGCCTTCTCTACAACGCATCCCACATGTGCTCAATGGGATTGAGGTCTGGAGTCAATGGGGGAAGGGGTAAATGGGAAATTTCCAAGTTTTCTAAACAATGAACTACTCTGTCTCTATGAGGTCTGGTATTGTCATCCAGAAATAGAAAATCCCTGCCAATGAGATCCCTGTATTGAGGGATGGATTCCTCGAGAATTTCTTCGATATAACGGAAAGGGATGTGGTTACCTTCAACAGTGTGGAGTCCAGCTCGTCCTCCAGTGTAAATCCCAGCCCAGACCAATACACCCGTTTCTCCAAACTGCACTAAGGGAGCACGAACTGGGCATCCCCTGTTCTCAGTAGACTCTTCGCGCCTGCTATCACTATACAGACAGAAACGCGATTACCTTGCTACACCATATTTTCTTAGGTTGCTGGTGGGGGCTGTCTCAAAGGGGCATACGGTCTAAGGCCAACTTACGAATCGTTTGTGTTGATAAAGGCCTTACCAAAACATCTTGTACTTCATTTAGGATCTTGCAGCACTATGGAAAGGGTTCCGTCTTGCAGCAATATTTCTGTCCTCCCTTAGCGTCGTAGTGTGCTCAAATCCACTACCAGGCCTACTACTGGTACTTCGTCTCTCGGAAGCGGGTTAAAACTCAGGTCTCTGAGAAACGCACTTGCCGGTGACCTCGATGACTCATTATGACAATTGCGAACTTCTTGTTCAAGATGATGTCTTTCCATGGTTAAAGAGCATACAACTGGATTCAAATTGGAGAAAAGGTATTTGTTTACAAAATGTGTAATCTTCATGTTTACTATTCTTAAGTAAATCCGTTATTAAAAATGAGGCATTTTTGAGCAGTTTAGGTGTGTGTACCTACTTGCAAAAGTAAACTAAACTAGGTATGCTAAATAAAGTCACTGCTAGGTCCCAAGACATGTGGGAGTAAAGGAAATGGACGCCCTTGCAAGGAAATGGGCTGCGATACTGCCGATAGGTCCTGAGACCTTCATAGGGCACAGAGATTCACCTTATCAATGAGTACCTTAGACACAACGACAAAATGAAAATGAAACGATGGACAATCCAAGAACCTTCTATAAAGTTTCGGAAGGAAAGAAGTCACACAATGAATTAAAGGAAGCAGGAACTTCGAATCCTAACAGGATTCTTAACAGGACACTGCAGACTAAATGCGAAGAAGATTGGTATAATAATATATCTGCAAGCGCAGATTCTGTAAAGAAGCCGAGGAAACATCAACACATTTACCAACAAAATGAGGCGCAGCAGGGAGTATTTTCGGATGTACAACGTAACCGTAGAAAAAATTCAACCACTAGTCAGGTCCTACTAATCAAGTCCCTTGATGAACTAGGTCTCACCTGTGTACTATAATCACAGTACGGGGGATACAGTATCTCCTAAAGGGCGCAGTACACCATACATACATCTGGAGTGACAAACAACACTAATACCTACATAGCCCGGCACGATCTCGTGGAAATCTTCAGAAAAAAGAACTCTCCAATCGCATTACATTGCCGTTCGGCCATTCTCAATACTCGACGTTTTATTATGATAATTTTATAATTATTTATCTTTATGACTATTAGATATAATGAAAAGTATTTTCTTATTTCTTAATTTTTTGTTGATAGAACAGTTCATCTAGAAAGAAGATAAACCCACTGCAGTTGATCCTCTTTGGTACTCAATGCTTGACAATTATATAATTAAAACATTATACAAAATTTTATTTCCTTACTATAAATAAAAATTATAAATAACAGAAAAATATCCAAGATACTATGAGAACCAGTCTTTTCGTAGCGAGTGGAATTAAAAAAACATAATCACACAAAAAGGGAAATTTATTTTCATCTTGAAATAACGTGTTAAATACAATAGAACCTAACAGTATCGTCGAGGCAACTTGAGCGATGGACGCAAAGTTTATTTTACAGTTATTTTATGTAGGTCTTTTTCTCAATAAAGCAGCTGTTTCCATAAACAAATTAAGGATGTTTCTCCTAGTCAGTTAATAAGAGTGATAGTTATGAGTGAACGTACCCTTATTTAAATTTTACATACACGAATGAGTTTTAGTTTAGGTAAGTACGCTTGTCAAATAACGCTAATAGTTTTTTTATTGATGTTTTACGGTTAATTCGAACGGTGGGCTTCATTTCGTCGATTCCATAGAACATCTGTTTTGGTTTCACTTGGCGACGTTATATTGTTATTAAAACTTTAAACATTTAAAATAAAACTACACGCGTATTGTAATAATTCGAGCAGACATAGATTTTCAAATAAAAAGAAGGAACGAAGAAGTTTTTTAAACATCACATGTTCAAACCGAGAACACGTGTGCGTTTCAGTTGCAGGCAGGCAGGTTGAAATTTGGTTTTTGCCGTGTATACGTCATGCGATGTCCGTACTAAAATCAGACCGTTTCTGCACGTACAACAATATGTATAAATAGGCACGTAGTGTTATGTGGCGGTGCGTGGCAAAGGCGGAGGTTCAGGGTGTAGTTGGACGACTTACCTAGCCTATATACCTTACATAGTTACAAAAATGGAACGGCACCGTGGAAAATTGTTCAGATCCCTTCTTAATTGCAACCGGGAAATTTCAATAACCCACTACTTCAGTCAAACAACTCTCTCTGAGTATGTGAAATAATGAGAGATGAGGGAGAGAGATGTTTGCTAAAGTTCACCAAGCCTACATCCTCCTAGGTACATAATAAAAAACACAACCAAGAGAATAATTTAACAGATGTAGAGAGTGCGTATGAGTGAGAGAAAGAAAGCACGAGCGAGAGATAGATAGATAGAGATAGGTAGATAAGATAGATAGTGAAATAGATAAAGGTAGATATGTAGATAGACATAGATAGATAGATAGATAGATAGATAGATAGAGAGAGAGAGAGAGAGAGAGAGAGAGAGAGATAGAGAAAGAGAGAGAGAGATACAGATAGATAGGTAGAGATAGATATAGATAGATTGATATAGATAGATAAATATCGATAGATAGATATAGATAGAGAGAAATAGATATATAGATAGATTGATATAGATAGATAGATAGATAAAGATAGATATAGATAGATAGATAAATATCGATAGATAGATATAGATAGATAGAAATAGATATATAGATAGATATATAGATAGATAGAGATAGATAGATAGATAGAGATAGATAGATAGAGATAGATAGATAGATAGATAGATAGATAGATAGATAGATAGATAGATAGATAGANAGAGAGAGAGAGATACAGCTAGATAGTTAGAGATGGATAGATAGATAAGATAGATAAATATAGATAGATTGATATAGATAGATAGATATAGATAGATAGATAGATATAGATAGATAGATATAGATAGATAGATGTAGATAGATATATATAGATAGATAGATATAGATAGATATAAATAGATAGATATAGATAGATAGATATAGATAGATAGATATAGATAGATAGATATAGATGAATATATAATAGGTGAATATTCTTTGTTACGTATGTTTTTGTTATTGGTTTATTTTTTGTCGGTTTTGTGGCCACTTTGCATACGTGGATGTTCGTTCATTATTTGTGCGTGTGTTGGTTTATGCGTGCGCTTGTGTAATTGGCAGAAAAATTGTCTACTTAATTTAACTGTCTTATCATAACGCCGCTTGGGTTCGGGTTCAATTTCCCCTTAAGAGTAAGATTAAGATCAAAATCAAAACTGACGAGAATAGAGCTAGGCATTATTAGATGCAATTTGTGCCAAGTTTATTTTTTGTTAATTGTTTCATTAAGGCGTAATTAATAACCGTGTCAGATGTCGTGTTCATTAACACTTTAAGCAGTTCAACGATCAGTCATCCTATTCGGCGTAGGTATGCGCACCGTCAAGCAGGGAAGACGCTTAAGCCTAGTTGCACATTTCTTTTAGCTTTAGACGCTTTTATTTAGATAAGGTCTTTTTAAATAAGCACAGAATTACAATTTACAAAATAAATGTCGATTTAAGATTAGCACTAAAGAAAGAAAATACGTTAAAGTAATAATCTATTTCCTGATGAATAGATTATTGAAGTGCTGATAGATGTTGGATTAAAGCAACTTCATATTCTTTGCTCGAAGACACTGAAAGATCGATTTGATTATGCTTGTCAATTATTTAACCGTAATAAAAGCCGAGTTCATAAAACAAATGAAAAACCCCTGATGGTGATGAATTATTTTATTAGTCAAATATTCCTAGGAAGGACTCACTGCTAGATTATTTTCCTGTCTAATTTCCAACCAAGTGCTCTCTTTTATTAAGACTGGTCAGTAGTCCTTTCGTCTCGGCAATTTGCCACCATGAACGAACCGAGGTGGAAAGATTTGAGTCAATTAACGCTTTACGACTCCCAATTAAAATTAAAAACACGTTTAATCCTATAAGAAATTTATTTCTTTTTTTGGCCGAACAGAAATTAATCGGGGTGTTTTTTTAAAATTCAATTTTGTTTTTTGTTCATTAATGAGCTGCATTTTGTCCGGTTTTATTGATAACGTCCTGTCATCTTTTAGATTATTTCATACTACTGCTACCTGATAGATCGATATCTATGTTTGGTTGTTTAAGTTAAAAAATATTGACCTCAAATGATAAAGTCACAACTTTATCCAACAGAACGAAAATAAACAAACAGACTGACAGAGACAACGTGTTGCCACGTACTATAACCGATTATTCCCGCGATCTTACAACAACGTGCGAACAAGCTGAAACAGCTGGTACCTACATATTTTACGTGTGGCACAGAAAGATGAAATTGGTCATGCCAACACTGACGCGTATCATCGTAACTGGTTAAGAAATTTTTTAATAAAACAAAATCCTTAATAAGAAACTAGGCTCATAAGTGATATCTTCGCCATTTCTCAAATTGTATAGCATTTACGTCTTAGTTATAATATAAATCTGTTACGATCAAATTAACTCAATATCATGGAATGTATTCTTTCCATTCAAAATTTAAGCCATTCCCATGCACTTCGCTAATTAAAAAAAAGTTTTTCTCTGTCCAAAATGGCGGTGCCTTATTACAGAAATAAAGTAAAGCTGTTACTCACTTCTCCAGCATTGGAATAGGGATAGGGTCAGGGATAAAAGAGGCGGCCACAAGGCCTATTGCACCTCGACCTGAACAGATCTATTGTGCTCCCTGATTTATAACTCTCTGCCAGCTTAAGGTTGTTAACCAACCTCCAAAGCTTTGCCAGCGGCTCCTTTAGTGTAGGATCGTGCTTGCGGTTTTTCTTGTCCTAGTTGCAAAAACCTGCACCTACATAGACCTTCACAGAAACATAGAATGAGTTCTGCGGTGTCCTCTTCTTCCTGACAGTATCTGCACAGTGTTTCTTCAGTCCATACTCCTATCCGGTGCATGTGCTTTCTTAAGTGGCAATGTCCTGTCAGTAGTCCAACCAGAATCCTGGTTCGGTTGGGCTTGCCTTCCAGTAATTCTTTTTTACATTTTGCGGATGGTCCTTCTATGAATCTCTTAGCGTGCCGTATACCTGTGGTATTGCTCAACCAGGTTTAGACTCATTAAGGGTCTATTTTAAGATCTATCCTCTTTTGTGGAAGGATGCTAAACTACAGTAGGTTTCAAGACCCATAGAGTCCATGTTGAGCCAATAAGAGGGTCATGTCTACCTTTTCGTGGCCTCTATGCCACGAGAGCCCAAGGACTCATGCCAGGGTCAGTCATTAATGTCGCTGGTTTCCATCAGGGCCTCCATGCAGTTCCAAACTATCTTTGCCTTCGCCTCGCATGAGACTAGGGCCCTTAGTGCTTCCTGAATGTCAGAGGAATGTATGTCTTTTTATTTTTCTGGCGCATTGTAGCATTGGAATATGATCAACTTATTTATTTAAAAAGGCCGTAGGGATGCCCAGTGTGTTATTTCACCAAACGTGTCCTTTTAATAAGTGCAATTAGGAAGCACAACTAACACAAAACCATCACGAACCCCTTCAGTCCTGGATGCCTTAAAAAGGACGGACAACTTATAACTGCGTATCGATCTGACAGACAATATCAGCGTTAATAAACTATCCCGGGTAATCACCAAGGTACAGGTCCATCACCTCTCACATCCCAAAATTGTCGGTATATATACAGAAAAATTCTCTACCCTGTCCTGCGAAACGTTTTATTTAAATAATTGTTGATATATGAAACGAGTTGTTCTTAATGCAATTCAGGTCAAATTGCAAAGACACCGTTCGTGAGAGAAAGATTGCCCCTGGAAATCCACGCTTCGGCTGTTGCCCCCAAAACGGATTCAACGGTCACGGACTGACCGTCGATGGAAACCACTTCTCTAGCTAGGAATCATAGACGGATGACGGTCACAGTTTTCATCTCTAAAATCGTCTTGTGCGGTCGCCGGATGGGCCGGGAGGCTAAAAGTCAATTGTTTGTCCATATTACACGTTTGTGGACCGTTTGACTCACAGCCAGACGACTTCGAACGTTAATGCCCTCAATGATTTGAATCGTTTGAAACGAAAACGTGACTTTTGTGTATTCCATCTGCCCCACCTTCGGTACTTCGAATGCTTCTGTTTTGTAACCTTTGCCTTAGGTGATGGCGTTTCTCCCCATTTGACAAACTCAGCATCATTCCAGGCAGAAAGAGAAATTCTGATTCCCAATATTTTCTGCAAAGAAGGAATTGATAAATATAATTTGATCTATAATCTTTTCTCATAAATGTTGTGTATATAATTAACATGCGATTAAAGAAAATGAAATAAAATATTAAATTGCCGCTTGAATAGTCCCTTAAAAGTTTAGTTATCTCTCTGATAAAAGGTTATTTTTGCTATTTTAAAGGATTATACGATGAGCAGAGTTGATGCTCTAAGTATTTCTCTCTTCCAAGAAAATAATTATAAAGAACTACCTCAACATTGTTTTAAACGTGTGGTGATTAGTGGCCGTTAGTCGAAGATTGCTCAGAAATCGTGAGATGCGGTCTGGTGTGATGTAGGTTGGAGTGTATTTGGAAAAAGTGATATTTCGCATTGTATAAATTCACTTTTTTCCACATCCTACATGTATTTGTTAAATTTAAACAATGTTTGTAAACCCCAGGCCCTGAAGATGATCACAGTAAAGATCGAAACGTTGGCACGATAAAGAAAATGTTTTTCTGAAACCTGCATCACACCAGACCGCATTTCATGATTTCTGAATAATTGTTTTAAACATACACACTGACAACTTAGAACTTCTGAACCTAGGACTGCAAAAATGAAAATGACCAACGTACCAGATTTCTTTACTCAAAAAACAAACAACAAACTTTAATATACCCATAGAATAATTCCTTTGCGATGTCAGTTAAAATGAAAGTAGTCTACAGAAAAAACGTTCAGTCTGTAAGATCAATTGTCGACTTTACGATAACGAAGAAACTAGTTCATGTATTTATTTTACAAATTTTTAATATATACTTTCAAATTAAACTATTTACTACTCAAATTAACTAAGTATCGATAGTAATGAAGGATTAAATACGCTCTGGATCTAGTTATGGTATTGAAGGAGAAGAAAGCAAATTTAATTGCTAATGTCAAGCTTTCGACCTATTTTAAGGTCATCATCAGAGCCTATAATAATTTCACATTATGAAAACCATTATATATATANTAGATTGTATGTGTGTGTGTGTGTGTGTGTGTGTGTGTGCGCGCGCGCGCGTGTGTGTATGTTGTAACAATCAAACAGATACTATGGGCTTTTAAGTTCATTTTACGAAGGTCTTATTAATTTTAAAAAGAGGTCTTTGATAACGAGAGGAGGACCTCCGGGATCAAGTTGCAATACCGTTACAGTCGTTGGCAATGTTGGGACTAAATCAGTCTTTAACGAAATTTGGGATCGCCTGTAAAAAGGGTTGTAAAAATGTAAAAAAAAAGAGATTGTATTCTATATAGTTATATTGATTATTAAACCAATTATACAAATATGTTTTTCATAATGTGAAATTAATATAGGCCTTAAAGCAGGTCGAAAACTTGGCCTTAGCCACTAAATTTGCTTTCTTCTTCTTCATACCTTGATCCAGAGTGTTCGTAAGTGAAAAATTGGTCGATACTTCTAATAATGAAAATAATGAAGGATGTGTCGACAATGATGTTTTAATACTATCGAACTATGTTCCAAAATTATCGAATTATGTTGCGAAACTATCGAACAATGCTGTAAAACTATCGAACAATGTTTCAATTATGTTGGGATAAGAACGAAGGATGTTTTAATGAGAGGGAACGATATTTTAATATTATGGAACTGTGCGGCGAAACTACCGAACTTTGAGGATGTGTCGGCAAGATGGAATGGTGTTTTAATACTACCGAACTATGCTCCAGAACTATCGAATTATGTTGCGATAACATCGAACTAAATTTCAAAACTGTCGAACTATGTTTATCAATTCGATAAACATAGTTATCGATTATGTTCCAAATCGTTCATCGAATTATGTTCGAAAACTATTGAATTATATTAATCCATGAATGTTTAGTGATCATAATTGACCATATTAATTATTTCAAATAATCTTGATCGATCTTCGGCTAAATACGCCGCTGCTCTAACCACTTGAGCTATCGTGACTTGACCCTCTCGAATCCCGCTAAAACATAAATAAGTAAAGAAGTAATCACTTCACTAACAGCTCGACGTGGCCACTTCATAAGTCGCGAGAATCTAATCCTGATTACACGTCATTTAAAAATGGCAGGGGATCGATGTAACGATAGCTCAAGTGGTTAGAGTAGCCGAGGTCGTGGGTTCGAATCCCGCTCATGACACTAACTGTTTCATCTCGCCAGGACCTTACATAAAAAGAATAACTTATTGAATTATTTTGCAAAACTAATGAACAACAATTAATAGAAATAGATGAAATTAAAATAGATAGGTTTATAACCACGTAGACCCCAGGAGGAATCTCATAAGGAGATCAATTAATATGGATGCTCATAAGCTCATCGTCAGAATAAAACGTAGATTTTCAGTCTTACGATGAGATTATTATGCTGAAATCCGGACCTCTACATAAACCTGTTTGTTAGTAAAGCCATCTTTTTCAACCAGTGGTTTGTAAGTAGCACCATCTTTTTCAACCAGTGAACAATTTTGCGAAACAGTCGAACTATGTAGTAGTATTATCGAACTAAGTTTCGACACCATTAAACTGCCTTTCAAAGTGTAATGATATTTTGATACAATTGGACTATGTTGCTTTTTGTTCCAAATTGCTTTCGTTGCGTTAAATTACCAAAGTCGACTAATGGAAAATATCTGCGACTTATTTTCGTCATTGTTTTCTAGAAATCGTTGGACAATGGGGACGGCAGCCAGTAGGAACCCGGACGGAGAAAGAGGTGAATATGTATTATTAATTAAAAAGTAATGACGGTTATAAATACATTAATTAAATATAATTTAAAACCATGGTCGATAATTAATCCATGATATATAAAAACATCAAGTATCTGATATTATGTTCTTAACTGCACATAATTTTGAAAATATTTTTTAAACTTAGTTCAACCATTGCCTCGCAAAAATTATGATTATATTTCATAAAATAGTTTTTTTATTGGTTAAATAATTAAGTATTGAAGGACATGCTTTGGCAATCTGCAGGCCCTTTGTACTATGAACCTGGTCGGTACGTTGGCAACTTGCAATACGATTTTATTACACTGATGTCTTTTTAGAAATATAACTATTATTTTATTTCTTCAAAATTATTCTGTTAATTTTTTTAAAATTAAGCATAAATTATTATAGTTTGGTCTTCCATCATCCTCGTTCAACTAGCCTCGTTAATTTTTCCTGCTGATGCGTTCCGGCATTTCACCGTCTTGAGTGGTCTTTGTGCTCTTTCTTTCGGACGTGTTCTTTTTACGTGAAATGATAAACGGGATGCTTTTAATAGAATAAACCAGTCGTCTTCTTGATAGTAGGCTATGAATCAGTAGTTAGAACGTTTCATATCATTCAGGTCAGCCAATCGTCGCCGTTTTGGAGTGTAATACGTCAATTGAAGATAGCCAAAACAAACGAGAATAATTAAAAACTGCGAAAAGATTAGTCCTCCATTATCTGAAGACTCAAAGACCCATCGTAAACCCATCAAATGCCAAAATATCTAGGGTAGACGATCTGCTTTGGATGGAAATGACCAAATTAAAAATATATATGTAATGTGAGATTCGCTCGTTAAAACTGTAGTTTGGTTGTTTTCTATCATTTTTGTATGACTGTCATTGCTTTTTTGGTTGGACGCGTTTCGGCTTTTTTAACATTTCCAGGGCTGGATTTGCGTAAGCCCAAAATCAATGCTGTGATGATAGAAATGAAAACGATCTAGCTATCTCGCATCTTATCTTTTGTATTAACATTTTAAGTTTACATTGAATTAGCATATGCATAATTAGCATATTATTTTCATTCTGCATTACCATAATGTTCTAACCCGCTGATTGTTTGAACATAATTAGCGACGAACATGATGCAAACCTCTTATCTTCACACCTAGATTGGCCTTTATTTAGAAATAAAGAAGGCAATTTAAATCCGGCTGGCGCGATGCATTTTTAATTTGCAATTTGCCTCAACAATTAAGAAACTTAAATGTAATTTTGTTGCAGTAAAAAGATATAAGAAGAACGACCGCCCTTGGAAGACAGAAGGAGAGTTCAAATTAAAATGCAGAACGACCGGGAAGGGAGAAAAAATCCGTATGCAATCACCGTCAAAAAACAAAAACGAAAATAAAAATTCATTTCTAAAGAAGAAACGCGATAACGGGAAAAACGATGGCACGGGAGTTAAAAAGGATAAAAAGCTTTGTAAGTCCAGGTCGATAACAAAAGAGCCTCGCGAGGAGAAAGTCCATGTCGTCGATTGTCCAAGTAAAGTGAGTAAACGTGTGCTGCCGTCGCCTTCTCCGCCTCCACCGTCGCCAATTTCCTTGCCACGTTCTTTTAAAGCCGACTGCAACGCGAGTCCTTACAGGCCTGTTGAATTAAGCAAAAGTCTGGAGCCATCGCCGGCCCCAAGTGCGAACCATGTGAAAGCTCGGTTGTCGAAGTCAGGAAAAGCCGATTCGAAACTGAACGATCGCATCCAGTCTTTGTTCGAACAGGACATCCTACCCGACCTACCAAATTGGAAGGATAAGGAAGAGGAGACGATAAACGTGGACGTTAAAGCTCAAATCAAAAGCTTGGAAGATTTGACTAAAAGAGCCAGATCGAAGTCACCGTGTTTGCTTGCGGCCAAACAAATCAACTGTTCTAGGTAAAAACCGGTAATTATAATACTCAAATCTATTAAAACGAGGGTTTTATTTTAGTGAAACTTCCGTCACGTCCTCTACATATTCGAACGAAGAATTGAACAGCACAGAAGTTGTATGGTCGGGTTCAAAGCGTTCCTTCATAGAATCGACGTCAGAAAACACCCTCTCGTCCTCGTTGCCCTCGTTAACGTCGAACCAGAAGAGAGCAGACGAGAAATGGCAAAATAAAGAGAACCAAAAGGAAGAGAGGTTCAGACAACTCGAGGAGCTCGGACTTGGCTTCGTACAAGAGGGAAAATGGGTACAACCTACCGACGTTTCGACTTTTTAATTGCTTTAAAACAAATCATTCACAAGGAAATATTTTGCAGATTCCGACCGATGTGATCTCCCGAACGATATGGAACGGAGTTGCAAAAACAAAAGGATGCTGTGCTCAATGGAACCGTCAACAGTCGAAGACTTTTAAAGACCCCAAGTTATTGCGTGACCAACAATAAAACCACAATACTGATTTATTATTTAAGCGTTTAGTTAAAACAACCTACCATAGCTTAAATCATTAATTGTTTGTAACTTTGGCACAGGGTTTACATCTGTTGCTGAGGTGAGAAAAAATTTTTTCACTGCGTCCATTCGACTGCTGCAAGAGTCCTGGTTGGGACATTCATAATATTATGTAATATGTACTGTGGCTTCTTTTTCTTCTTAGCAGAGCTTATGTAGGCTATCTTCTGTTACTACCCATATTTTCTTATGCCTATCGAGTCGGCAATATACAGTTTGTAATAATCCAATACGTTGTAAAAGTCCAATAGGTTTAGGCAGGATTTTCTTGACGGCCTTTTAAGTCCTGCTGTACTGTTCGACAAGGTATGGCTATCAAGAAACATCTTTGGCACCCTCTTTATTAAACTTCGACTGTATGTGTTCTGGAACCAAGTTTGTAGAAAATTTGTCCTCTGCTCCTAGCGTCTCATACTGCCCTTGATGCCAGTGCTCAGTTTGACTATGGGGATAGATCGATAGATCTTGTTGCCTTCTTATGCCTAGCCTTCCTTGGTCAATGCTCAATTTCTTGGTTTTGTATTGCCAAGAGTATTTGCGATTTCAACACTCAACCTAAGACAAAAAACTGGCCTCCTTTCCTACCCTGTTGGGCGGGGACGGTCGGAGGTGGGTTCCTCGGTGCGAGTCCCTTATTTCTTGCCTTGCTTATGGTAGTTTTGGTTTAAAAAAAGTACAGGAGTAATATAATATATAACTCCCCTAAATAAATAAATCTTGTACTGTTTGGGCCTCCTTGCCAAATAGTACAATTGTTGACTGGTAGTCCATCCTCCATGTGGCTCTTTATGGTACCATAATTTGGTATACCGTGTAGTCATAACTTCCATGGGCATGTCTACATCTTTCAAAGTTCAACTTCATAGCTGGAGGAAGCGTATAGCAGCATATCCTTTCATCATTTTTCCTCTCTTCTCCCTGAATGAACATATATAGAACTGGTTGTTTAATTTCTTATCCAGGGCAGGAGTGAGCGTAGTTCAAATGACTGCATTGGTCCGCAGGCCTTATTTTTAAAGTAGTTTTGATAAGATTAAACATGATACAATCTAATAGATATTGACGCTTAGGTTAAACCAGTTTTGTCCTAGGGCGTAATACGTTCTTTTTTCTTTAAAGCATAAATAAATCGGACACAGAAAGCTGAGGCTTAATTAAACTCAACTAGAGCGTCATTAAATTCAAGGAAACAGTAATCAAAATGAGGAAAAACAAAGTTAATACATGATTTTTACGGAGGTTTGTTGGGCAGAGATTTTACTGATTTTTAATTGATGTAAAATAGAATTAGCTTTTTTGAGCATTTTATGGAGTGAGTTGACCAATTGAATTTTTCATTAAGGATGTTTGCTTTTTGATTGATTTATTTTTATTGATTTTCGATCAAAAAGTTCGGATTTTGTTTTCAAGGATGAGATCGATAGCACGAGCCCAATAATCTTCGACTCGAAGTAAGGCAAGGGATTACAGTACGTAAAGCAGAGAATCTTAAATTTTTAAGTTTCTCAATAAGTAAAACACGGTTAATACTGTTTGTGGTCGTAAACGAAGGTTTTTTCTTCGCAACCGTTTTCAATTCCTCAAGGCGACTTTGGCTATGTGTGCAGTTTTGTCTTGATGTTTATTATCATTTTTTACGAACAATCCAAAGAATTATGATACTGATTACAAGTTAGCTTTTAGTCAGAGATATTTCACCTCTTTTTCTAAAGGAACAACTCGTATAAGGCCAAAGGATTTGGGTGTTATTTTCTTTGTGAATGGGACAAATGTGGTCTTATGGCTGTTTATAAAAAGACCTTCAAGCTATACTAAAAGAAATTCCATCAAGGCTAATTGAAGTTTATAATTACATATCATTATTTAAATACAAGACAGCAGATAATCATTGTTTTTCTTCTTGTACGTAACTGAATATATATATAAATTCTTCTTATTTTTTAAAAATATATTTAATAAATCCATCAGATTTCGTAGTCCGATTTAACAGATAACTTCATTCAATTAATTCAGCTTTATGTAAGGTATTGGTTGAGATAGAAAAGTCAGTGTCATGAGCGGGATTCGAACTCACGACCTTCGGGTAAATACGCCGCTGCTCTACCACTTGAGCTATCGTGACTTCGATCCACTCGGACACCAACTTCCCATCTCAACCCCACCTTTCGAATTTTACTTCCTTTTTTGCCATTTGTATAGAATATATTTAATGTATTTATAGAAGAATATATTTAATATTCCAAATCTTCAGAATGAAGAAATTTACTTTTAAAACTGAATTACATTGTTAGGTAAATACTAAAAAAATTTCTTCATTAATGATACGATAATTAAATAACCATTAAAAAATACAGCCCAAGTGACAAGATCGACAACAAAGCTATTTTAAATATCCTCATATAATCTCGACACGATTAATTTATTTCCCTTACAAAGTAGTCAATTAATTGATTTCCCCCATTCTCTCTTCTTTGTATTTATTCTTTATTGAATCTGAGCATGTCAACATAAATAGTCACGAAGTAATTATTGCGGTGGTAAAAGTGTGGCGTACCGGATGGCCCACCGTTGCATGATCGAAATCGATCATCTGGTCCACAGATTCAACTATTTTAACATATCAGAATGATTTTTTCCGTATTTAATATATAATTCTAACTATTCAGAAATAGTGAGATACGGTCTGGTGTGATGTAGGTTTCAGAAAAACATTTTCTTTATCGTGCCAACGTTTCGATCTTCATTTGAGATCATCTTCAGGGCTCAAAGTGTTTATTTCTGCGTAAGTGTGCCATTCTTGAGAGTGCCCACGCAGACGACACGATACGCAAGAATGGCACAACGTTGGCACGATAAAGAAAATGTTTTTCTGAAACCTACATCACACCAGACCGCATCTCACGATTTCTGAATAATTATGGACTAACGGTCACTAATCACCACATATAATTCTAACCTTTTATTTCATAAGATTTGAAGAATCATTGTTTCATGCTGATAAATGCTTATAAATAAAAAATGTGTCAACATATCTCAATTTCTTTAATAGCTGCAGCAATTTAGTTAAACATTGTTTAGAAATAATAGAAATAACGTCTTCCCCACAACTATAACTAATGCTTTTATTGAACCCCCGTGAGGCCCCGGAAGCACCCCACTTAAATCCTGCATTAGTTGACCGTACGAAGCCCATTTTCGAGGATGTGGGTAAAATCCATTGACGATATACACCTACACTTTGATCCAAAAGGCCGAGCAGCTATTAACAATGTACACCTTTTGAATGTATAAAAGCACAAAAATATTTACATGCCCCTGTTAAGCACAAAAGTGATTACACATCATCATGGTTGTTTGGTTTGTCTTCAAATATACAAACGACCCTCAGAAACTGCAAGTGTCAATGAATAATTGTTAATAAAAATAAATAAAAATTGAGGAAGACCTTGTTTGGCATAAATGTGATACAATAACCTTGCTGAGACCTGAGAAACAAATTATGTGTTTTTTAAAAATATTTTTGACGGTGTTAAACTAAAATAAGTCAAACTGAATAAACATAGAAGTGAAGAAAAAATTTAAACGAGTGAAGAATTGTCAAAATAAATGTAATCAAGACGTTTCAAGTTGTTTATACATAACATGTGATGAAAGGGGGCGGAGGATTTACAGGGGGATGAAATTCTAACTGAAAGTGAGAAAATTAAGGTATGATAAATAGAGTCGAATTTATGTAAAAGTGGAACAAATCCACCGGTCATTACATTTAAAAATTGTACAAATGACCATAAAAAGCAGAAGGTGTCAATGAACAATAGTTGGAAAAAGCATGTTCTGTTTTACCTCATAAACATAAAATAAAAAGCAGTTCCTAAACCAGTAAAAAAAAATCTTTTCGTATTCATGGCAAATGCTGAATTACGTGTTTATCGTGACAAACCCCAGAATCCTCTAAAATTTTGCAAATCAAACAGCAAATTTTACGTGCTGATATGAAATGCTTCTTGGCTCTTGTCGAATTTATAAAAGGGTAGAAACGTTGTGTTGCTGTTAAAGCATGGAACTCGATGGGGAGTTCATATGATCATTCATGATTTTTCAAGAATTGTGCTGCCGAGAGGAAACGCCGTCGGATCGGGAAAAAGAAAGTTCGTCGGCCGATAAAAACCGTCCCTAACCATCCCTAACAATGTACACCTACACTACACTTTGATCTTAGCCAAAAGGCCGAGAAGCGATAAACAATGTACATCTATGGAAAAGTCCTCATCCTATGTGGATCTGGAGCGTTTTGCTCTGGGGTCCTCCCAGCCAACAGGAGAACCGACCCGCCACCTCTCATCAGAGATATTGTTTGTTTTACGTTTCAGTCAAAAAATAATGTGTGGTGAATAGTGACCGTTAGTCGATGATTATTCAGAAATAGTGAGATGCGGTCTGGTGTGATGTAGGTTTCAGAAAAACATTTTCTTTATCGTGCCAACGTTTCGATCTTTATTGAGATCATCTTCAGCGCTCAAAGTGTTTGTTTTCTGCATAAATGTTCTTGCCCTCTCAACACGACACGCAAAAATAAAGAAAATGTTTTTCTGAAGCCTACATCACACCAGACCGCATCTCACTATTTCTGAATAATCAAATAACAATATCCAATATTTTGCAGGAAGAGGAACATGCATTCGTGCACTTTTATTTCTGCAAAAATCAATAACGTCCCTAGATAGAACGAAAGGACCTACACATCAGTAGAATACACATAATATGCTCCGCAGATTGCATACCCTACCCTAAGCCTTGACAAGGTTGTACACAAGAGCAGAACTTCACAGCCTCCTCAGGAATGTCAGAAACAGACACCGATAACAACTGCCCTTGTCGATTTGTATGCAAGTTGCCATTTGTTTTTTTATCCCCTGTCCGATTCTGCTTCGGTGGTTTTCAATAGAAATCTTTATTTTAATACTGTCCCTAGTCAGGTTGCTAATTTGGCCCAAAATTTTCTCCCTGAGTAACCCATTACCCACCAAAAAAACTACTCACTTTCCCACCTGATAGGTTTTACTTTTGATTCCAACCCTAATCGTCACTTAATTTTCAAGGCCAATCAAACGCGTTTCGGCTTTACGCCATCTTAAGTGAGAAATGGATCTGCACCATCAACTATAATGCATAAGCTTCTTGTCATTTAAACAGCAGATATTGTACCTACTGTTGCGTTTCCGGTCATTTTGGTCGGCCTCACTATTGTTATAAATCACATCTAATTAAGGTTTTTAGTTGAAATAAAAAAGTCAATGGGACGAGCGGGATTCGAACCCACGATCTTCGGCTTGATACGCCGCTGCTCTACCACTTGAGCTATCGGGACCTTGTTCCACTCGGACACTAACTTCCCATCTCAACCCCACCTTTTGAATTTTCCCTCCTTTTTTCCATTTTTCAATTTTTTTATCTCTACTAAAAACCTTAATTAATTGTAATATATTAATTGGTCAAGCGGACCACGAAATTAGTGAATTTTATGAATTGTTATAAATCATGCTTTATTTGATAGATTAATTGATAGAAAAGCTGTAATAGATGTAACCTAAGAATGTTTACATCTAAACTGTATGACTTCTTAATTTGACTGTAGTATTTGGTCAATTATAATATTTTGATTTTAGGGGTTAAAAATCATACGGTGAAATACTTTGTACTTGTGATCATTTTGGTCTGACCATCCTCGTTGTTTATCCTCTACCAAAATGCTATGAGTTCATAACCCATAACTCAACAAGAATCTCAAAATTTACTATATTTATGACTAAGACATTCATATCATTCATATTACTTTATTTACTACTTATTGGATATGGATCTGGTGTATGGTTAGGATTAAAAAGAAGAAACTGCAATCATTTGCCAAGCTTTCGGCCTTTATTTGAAAACTCCATTCAAGTGTTATAGTTTTTTTACAGTTTTCAATTCCGAAAACGTGCTAACAATCACATCAAGTCAACAAATGTAACTAACTTCTAAGAAGTAATGCTACCCTGAGGATGGCCTTACAAAGGCCGAATGCTTGGCAAGAGATTGCAGTTTCATCTCTTTAATTCTAACCATATACCAGGTCCACATATTACACTATATACCACTGGTCGATAATCTTCATAGTCATCGCTCGTAGGATAGGCAAGAAGTACTAGATGTACTAACAATGTTTACATTAAACTGTATGTACAATTAATTAAGGTTTTGGTAAGTACAATAGACAACGTATATCAACGACGGGTAGGAGCAGTGTAACTTAAAGATCAGGTTTAAGCCTTGAGGATGGCCTTGAGAAGGCCGAAAACTAAACAACTGGTCGCACTGTACTGTAATGTTTTCCTTCAAACCGACCTGACTAGAAACCTGATCTCCAAATGCCATTAAGCTGTGTGACTGCTGCTTGGCTGAAAAAAATCATATGATTAAATAGTTAAAATCACTGTCTTTTATGTTAGTCCTCAGAAAATGTTTATTTTACAAAAAGGAAAGCATTTCTAACTGATGGTTCACTCCGGCCGAAAGTATCATGGAATGGTTTATCCACACGAGGTGCCTGTAGTCGCCAGTCCATTCGAGCGCGTTGTAAAACCTGTAGAGCCGTTTTCCAGATTTAAGGTCCCAGAGATGAAGCGATGAGTTCATGAAGACGACGAGGCACTTGCCGAACCCGGCTCTGATAAATCCGACTGCGGCGCCGACTGAGAAAGTGTAGAGAGTGTGCCCTCGAAACGGATCCCAGACCCTGACGATAGAGTCTTCCGAATAAACCACTAAAATTTTCTCAGCTATGATAGCGCAGAAATGAGAAGAGCTGATGGTTTTTGTGCCCAAGGGCTCGTTGTAGTATCCTTTCTTCCATACCGAGATTCTTTTCAAGCAGATGTCGCCTGGTGCAGGGATGGCCATGACGAGTTTTTCGCTGATGACGAACTTCTTACGTCCTGGTAGCGACATGAGCGGCTTGACCTCGTCCTCATCGATGCTGTATTTCAGCAGACTCGTCACGCCGGAGTGCAACGCGAGATATACGTTGGAGCCGATGGATTCTATCTGACTTATCTCCTTGAGGCCGACTTTGTCCGATACGAGCTTCGAACCCGTGAGTTTCCAGATCCAGACATGACCGCTGCCGTACCTCGCTGCGAAAAGGCGGTCGTCGACGACGGCATACATCAAAGGGGTTATGAGCATGGCGGCCGCTTCAGATTGCATCCTTATCGCTTCTTTGTACCACGGTACGTAGTCGTCACCGAGAGAGTTGTACCTTTCCATCTGCTCCACGTATTCATCCCCGAGCTCGAAACTCTTCAAGTCGGTCAGTAAGTACTTATCGTTTTTCGTAAAGACGTGAAGCAATTTCTTCTGGATCGCCACTATAAACCGGGTCGTAGTTTTAACAGATATTATAGGGTAGTCCGGGAGAACGGCTAGCACGATCTGCACGAGATACGGTAAACCCTCTACCGACCTAAAATTCTTCCAAGTTAAAACGACGCTTCAAAACCGGACAAGAAGAAAGCTAAGATAAAATACGAACCAGACATATATTGAAGAATCTTCGTGTCCAGTAACGGCGGTGATGCCGTCACAATCGAGCGAATACACGGGGCTGGAAGTTTCTGAAAGCTTGTACGTTTGAAATTTTTTATCTATCCAATTTTTAGAAAGTCGTCTGCACCACCCATAAACTTCGCGCCAATAACAAAGAGGTCCCAATACATTGCGTTTCTCTTTAACACAACAATTACGAATAAATACAACACAAATAAACCAAAAGAACAAATTACGTATATAAGTAGTATAAATAGATTATAAACATAATTATATGGTAAAAACATTGCAAAAGATTGTGCTACAACTTAACAGAATATTGTTCTAACACAAAAAGTGTTGAGATGCAGTTTGAGATCACCCATCATCTCTGATCATCCAGATCTGCTTAGTCTCACTGATTTTTTATGTCAGACGTTGATTGCCAACTTTAGTCATAGGTCTGTGGGTGTTTTTGTAATGTGTCCTTTTTATAAGTTTGTGCAAGGTGGCAAAACTAGCGAGACTTCTCCCACCCTTAAACAATACTCAGCAATAAATTCAATCTTTCAATGATGAAATGTATAAACATTTAGTCCTCTTGAAGTGTCGAAATAACCAACGATGGCTCACCAACCAAAGCAGCAATAAACAAATCAGAACGAGTTTTCCGCGTATAAATGATTAAAACTTACATCGACTTGTAGCTAAGAGGAAAAATTAGATACCGTCCGTCACAGTCTCAATGAAGAGGTGAGAGCGGCTTCTCAGCATCAGCTTATCGTCGTAGCTCTCGTGCCGACATATGTCCCTCCAGACGCTGTCGATGTTAACACCTCTCCTCCATTTCTTAGACACCTCCGAACACGCGATAAGGTCGGCGAGGGAGAGTTCGCCCAAGATCAACTCCAAGACTTCTTCGGGGAGGTCGAAGAGATCGTCGACCGACTGTTTCCTCTTGGCGACGGACCTAGAAACACTCGTGCTTTTCTAATATGATTCGAAACAACGTTGAACCGTAGGAATGTAAATTTTTTAGTACCATTGAGTTTTTCTATTTGGCAAAGTAGAACCCAGTTTAAAACTTAAAAATCATAGTCATATGTATTATTATTCCAGATAATAGTTATGGCGTGAATTTTTTTTTAGTAACAAAAACTATCGATATCACGTGCTTACCGTGATGAACGCTGTTTCAAATCCATAGTAAACAACAGGCAAAGATTAGTAAAGAAAGAAAGTTTTTGACAAGTGTCATAAGGAATTGAGATGAAAATAAAGTAAAATACAAATGTGACATGTAAAAGTATTGGAATTTTTGAAAAAAAGAGAAAAAAAATAACAAGGAAAATAAGAAATGTCTTATCAGTCCATATGACAATTTTTAAAAATTCACATTATTCAAGCTTTATGGTTCAAATTTTAATTAAGATAAATAACCCTTTAACGCAAAAACTGAGATTAATATCCCAATTCAATTATCTGGCAAGCTTTCAACCTATTTTAAGGTCATCATCAGGGTAAAACATTTTAATAGATGGTTTCAAATTTTTTTGAAGATAGGCTCCTATTTAAGGATATAAGATAGACATATAAAGATGTAACGTGGATAGAAGATCGAGTCTATTGTCTATCAGTTATTATCTGCCAAGCTTTCGACCCATTTTAACATCATCATCAGGGCAAAACCATTTTAAAAATGTCTGGAAATGGACATAATTCAGTTTTTAATATATGGTTTCTAATTACTTTTAAGAAACGTGTAGAGATTAGTGACCGTTAATCGATAATTATTCAGATATCGTGAGATTCGGTCTGGTGTGATGTAGGTTTCAGAAAAACATTTTCTTTATCGTGCCAACGTTTCGATCTTTATTGAGATCAGGGCACAAGTACACAGAAGACAAACACTTTGAGTGAGTAGAAATACTTTGATTGAATATAGAATATATTTTGCATTGTATAAATTCACTTTTCCACATCCTAAATGTATTTGTTAAATGTAAACAATGTTTGTAAATCCCAGGCCCTGAAGATGATCTCNGACTCTAGAACAAAACAATCTTAAAAATATCTACAAATTGATATAACTAAATTTTATATATAAAGATTATATAAAGATGTAAATAAATTTCTTCTAAGAAAGACACCTATTTCAGAATGTAAGGAGGAAAGAAGATGGAGTATATTATTTATCAATTTTATGGGCCAAGTTTTCGACCATTTTAAGGTCATCATCAGGGCAAAAAAATCTTAAAGAAGTCTACAAATTGACATAATTAAGTTTTTAATAGATGGTGTCAAATTTCTTCTAAGATAGACTCCTATTTAAGGATGTAAGGAGGGAAGACGATCGAGCCTATTGTGCATCAGTTATTATCTGTCAAGTTTTCGACCCATTTTAAAGTCATCATCAGGACAAAACAATCTAAAAGAAACCTACAAATTGACATTTAATAGATGTTTTAAGTTTTTAATAGATGATTTAAGGTTGTAAGAAGGATGGATGATCGACTTATTTTCAAAGAAATTTGAAACCCCCTATTAAAAACTCACTTTTTTCAATTTATAGACATTTTCAAGGTTGTTTTGTCTGACGACGACCGAAAACTTGGCAGAAAATACATGAATTTGTTTTTTCGCCCAGACCTTACCGAGATCTAGTTTATTCCTTAGTAAAAAATTGGTCGACACATCTAAAACTTTAAATAATATTCAACCTCGTCCAAGTCTAGCACGATTTTTATTTTCCACTGTTTGATGTCACGGCCAAATAGAAACAGCGAAGCACATACACGCAAACAACACGCTCTACAAAACAAGTGTACCATTCAAAATTAAGCTCTGTTAAATTCTTCCCCGCTAATTACCCCCTTAATCTTTAGACGACTCGGAAACTTTTACTTATTAATATTAAAACGGGCGCGATGAGAGCTATGGGAGAAAACTCTCCTGTGGGACCTTTTAATGGGTGAAATCCCTTTAGATATATTCAATTTAGAAAAAAAGCAGTTCCCACCTTGCATACGTGAGCATGCAAAAATAATGAAAGGGCACATCATACAATGATTGATGCAAAATAATAATAATATAAAAAAGTGTTCTTTTCCGTCCACCTTTGCATTATAATCGTTTCTTGCCTTCATTTTTTAATTGTAGACTGAAAATTAGTCGCACTGATTTATAAACCTTATGCATATTCAAAATATTCAGTCAACTAAAAAATATCTGTACTTAAGTGTAAATAATGAAAGTAATTTTATTTAAAATGTGTCCGTCCAGGAGGAGAAATAGAAAGTAATAAATTGTATAAAAAATAGCCTACTTTGGACTTGCTAAAAATTTATTTTGAAAATAAGTTTTTATCGACAATTTGGCCAAATAGGGGATATAAATAAATTGAAAATATTATATTTTGCAAATTCCTAATGTTTAGTTACGATAAAATACAGAGGGTGGGTTTAACGTCGGTAATCACCCCCACCCCTTATATTTTTTTAACTGGGCGTTTTCTTGAATTGCCACTAGCACCCCTTAGGCACCTGCAACCCCATGTCCCAATCCTTCCTTTCAGAATGGACTTACAGCCTACAGGCCTTTCAAATTGCAAAATAGAATAGCAGCAGGTATCAGCTTGAATTTTGGAAATTTTTACTGGCAGTCCGTACTCCGGGTTTTGTATGATTAAATTCACTAATTTCGTGGTCCGCTTGACCAATTAATATATTATAATTAATTAAGGTTTTTTAGTTGAGATAAAAAAGTCAATGGCACGAGCGGGATTCGAACCCACGATCTTCGGCTTGATACGCCGCTGCTCTACCACTTGAGCTATCGTGACCTCGATCCACTTGGACACCAACTTCCCATGTCAACCGCACCTTTTTGAATTTTCCCTCCTTTTTGCCATTTTTCATTCGTGGGTTCGAATCCCGTGCCATTGACTTTTTTTTATCTCAACTAAAAACCTTAATTAGTTATGTATAATATTATATATAGTGTTGTATAATATTTTATATTAGAGGATTTTTTATTTGACAGCGATTTTTCTGCCATATTTCCATTCAAAATGAATATGTACTAACTAACCAAAAAGAAAAACAATAATTCTAGGTTAAATAAAAAGTTAATTATTAGTCGGGACAGGGGCGTCGGTGGCCACAAAGGTTTAGGTGTTGACACGGCTCTCATCACTGTAAGGTAAAGGTCCCGGGTTCGAATCCAGCGGCTTTTACTTACAAATGGAATTTTTTCAAAAACACCGGCACCCTGAGGGTTTATATGACCTCTGCTGTTGCGAACCCTCGTAAAAAAATAAAATAAATTATTAGTCGGGTGTTGTCCCTGACATTCATGCCATCTATTTTAAATTTTTTATTGTAAATCTTTTTTTTCCGTGCATATAATATTGCATATTTGAGGTTCTATTAGTGCATATTATTTGACATATTTTAAGGTTTTTATTGCATGAAAAACCGGGCTATGCTGGTGGCTTTGAACCTATCGACAGGACACTTTACAGCGGTTTAAGTCCCTTTACACAAAACTTAATTGCATAAATTTGGTTTCTGTAAATAAATTAGAACCAGGGATATAAAACAAAACGTTTCAGGTGTTTTGGTTCATTTAATCATTATTTCTCTCACTTGTACCACTTTAACCTGGTTGACATTAGCCAAAACAACAGAAATTAAGGTTATAGCGATTTTAATAACCTTGAATTTGGGTAAAATACAGAAGTATTATGAATTTTTGACTGGAAGCCTCCCAAAAATATCCATTACTTTGTTTACTATAAAAATTCATATTTAAGGGCTCTAAAGAGTGCTTGAAATGAATCCTAATTGGTTTTGTTCCCTTATTTTATTGGAAGTGTCTTCTCATTTTTGTAATTTTCTACATTCATAAGTAATCTCATATAATACAAGCCTGCATATTATTTTCTTATCTTACATTAAGAAGGCAAATTATCTGATATACAATAACCTTGAAATACATTTACTCACTTAGTATGTATAAGCAAGTTTCATTAAAATTAGTGATCCCATATCAACGGCCTCCTCTTGCTAGTAGTTAGTTAATTAGTTATTAAATGTTTTAATTTGGATAATTTTTTAAATATTTTGTAAGATAAATTGTTCTCTTGAAATAACATCAATATTTCAGCTGTAATTGTCAAAATTTTGGTTATCTACAATACTGCAAGGAAAAACAATGATGAGACAATATTTTTTTATTTGTTAATTGTTATTTGCAGAATTTAGATTATTTCTCTATCCCTATCCCTAGGTTATTTTAAACAAAAATGGCTTAAATTGGGTAAACACACTGATTTAAATTGGGTAAACCATCAACATCTTATGAACAAAATGTGATCAATTAAGATTTTCATCTACACAATGTCTCAGCAACTCAGTAATATTGTTTAATGGTTATTTGTAAGAATTAACTTATTTCTCCGGTTTCACTGGTCGGTCTTAATAACAATGTTTAATTATGTGTACTTTACTTTGATCTTAGCCAAAAGGCCGAGAAGCGATAAACAATGTACATCTATGGAAAAGTCCTCATGCTATGGGGATCTGGAGCGTTTTGCTCTGGGGTCCTCCCAGCCAACAGGAGAACCGACCCACCACCCCTCATCCGAAATATTGTTTGTTTTACGTTTCAGTCAAATAACAATGTGTGGTGAATAGTGACCGTTAATCGATAATTATTCAGAAATCGTGAGATGCGGTCTGGTGTGATGTAGGTTTCAGAAAAACATTTTCCTTTATCGTGCCAACGTTTCGATCTTTATTGAGATCATCTTCAGAGCCTGGGATTTACATTGTTTACTTTTAACAAATACATGTAGGATGTGGAAAAAAGTGAATTTATACAATGCAAAATATATTTTTTTACATTCAATCAAAGTATTTCTACTCACTCAGAGTGTTTGTCTTCTGTGTAATTGTGCCATTCTTGCGTTTATTATCTATTTTGTGCTTATGTACGTTGGATGTTGAAGGGGTGGGGAAGGATGTCGGTATAGAAAATACATTTTTGTATAAGGCGTCGGCTTCTTTGAGGAGAAAGGAGCCGACGAAAGGAAAAAATGTGTTGGTAATGGTTCGGCCAGATTATCCTTTCAGGATTATATAGAAAGGGATAAATAGGAAAAAGAAAGCTAAATTGTTGGAAAAATTAGACTGTGTGGAATGTAATGTAATGTATGTTATCCATATTGAATTTGATTAATGATATTGGCGTAGCTGCGGCTGAGTTTACATGTATCTGTTCTGTAATTGATGTTGTGTTTATCTCTGTTGATATAAACCATTTCTAAGAAATTACGATTATATTTGTTTTGTTCTGTATATTTTTGGATTTTTGAAGTCGAAATTGTGTTGGTTTTCTAAATGGTGGGTAGCGAGTGCTGTAGGATTTTGCTTGGGTTTTTTGCAATCATAGATATTGTTGCTTTACTCTCTTGTCCAGATATTGGGATGTAAGACCTTTGGAAGTTGCCGGACAGTTTAAACAGTTGATTTTGTAGATTACGTCAGATTTATTTGTAATTAGTATGGGATCTTTAATTTTGGAAAAAAGTGTTTGAATTGTTTTATAATTTTTGAAAGCTATTTTGAAGTTATCATCATAAGTTATCACATTGGCACGATAACGAATTGTTTTTCTGAAACCTACATCACACCAGACCGCATCTCACGATTTCTGAATAATTATCGATTAACGATCACTAATCACCACATATAAAAAAATATATTTTGCATTATATAAATTCACTTTTTTCCACATCCTACATTTATTTGTTAAATGTAAACAATGTTTGTAAATCCCAGGCCCTGAAGATGATCTCAATAAAGATCGAAACATTGGCACGATAAAGGAAAATGTTTTTCTGAAACCTACATCACACCAGACCCATCTCACGATTTCTGAATAATTAATGTTTAATTATTTACTCACAGGAACAAGTTTTTTCTTTTTTCCCCCCCTGAGGGTATATCAACTATGAGGTTATATGAACCCTTAGGATACTGGTGTTTTTGAAAAAAAGCCCATTTGTAAGTATGTTGAGTTTGAATGCAGGGCCACGGGATTCGAACCCTGGACCTTTACCTTACTGCGATGCACTGTGTCAACGCCTAAACCGTTGTAGCCACTGACGCCCTTAAAGGAAAAAAAACTGAATTAATTTTAGCAATTGGTAGGATTCATAAACATCACTGTTTTTAAAATATCTCGAGAAATCTTCGTTTATTTTTTACGTTGAAGAGACCATGGGCTTGTAGTCTTTCAGTGTTATTATATACATACATATTTTGGCTTAAAATGTTTTACTTCCAGTAGATTTCTGATCTATTTCTTTTCATCGTTTTAAATTATCATTAATTTTAATATTCTGGAATTACTTTCTCTTATAAACACTGGTAGAGAAATTTTAAAAGGCCAGCGTGATGTTCTTAGTCAGTAGATACGCCCAGAATAAATTAATTTTGTTTTGAAACGAACAAGTTTTGGAGTGTTTTCTTGCGATTAGGACTCCAAAATTGGAAACGAGCTGTAAGACGTGTCAAGGGTATTTTCACATTTGTGGGTGGTGCACAAACTAATTGGGCCTTGTTAACGAGCATTTTCCCGTCGCCCATCTTGAATCAAATTCGAATTAACTCCTACAGAATTGAAGACAAACAGGCAGTTAAAATTATAACAATTAAAAATTTGGAGTGGTGTGGACGATGATTGATTGAAGATTATTATTGCAATGAAACTTGGCATGGCAAAAAAAAAAAAAAAAAAAAAGTGGGCTCCTTAGACTAACACACACTGGCAATTTATTTATCATTTCTCTGGGAATATGTAACAATGTAAAGCATTCACAAGGGTGAATAATTGCCAGTTTTATTCTTTACAAAACCTTTCATCCATTATAAATATACGAAGGACTGAATAATCGACTATCTGTTGGTAGCCCCTGGACTTGACCTTGGTCGGAGAGGCTGAGGTCCGACCCAGAACTGCTGATACATGTGGTAGGTGATTCTCGAGGCTTGACGGTAATTTATTGTAAGTTACACAAAATTGGAATTGCCATTATATTCTTACATTGTCAATCCAAAACTAAATGAACATTGGAAATGGCAAATTACAAAGCATCTTGGCTGCTGTTCAACTAACCCTCAAGAGATAAATTGCAAATTTAATAATAATGCACATCGCGGTGATATATACATACTATGATATATACTATTGGGTTAACCAGAGAGTAATTTTTTTCCAAAGATATTAGTATCACTTTAATTCTTCACGGTGAAGTGCTTTTTGAGAATATTCCATTCAGTTTTGACCGAATCACCAAAATTCAGATATGAAATGAACAAAGTGTTCCTTCAAGTCTCAATAGATCACATTTTTTCTTTTGAAGTCACAAGGACTTCTCACCTTTTACACTTGAACTTTTGTCTATCGTGTCTGATCTATACATTATTATTTTTTTGTTTATTTAATAAAATACAGAATTTTTATCAGTGGTACGGTATCGAGGTCTTCGTTTGCTCATGGTTTTCAAAGGTGCCTTGGGGGCGTCGGTGGCCGCAACGGTTTAGGCGTTGACACGGCGCTCATCACTGTAAGGTAAAGGTCCCGGGTTCGAATCCAGCCGCCCAGCATTCGACCTGACATACTTACAAATGGGCTTTTTCAAAAACATTGACACCCTGAGGGCTCATATATCTTCGTAGTTGAAATACCCTCATTAAAAAAAAAAGCCTTATCCTAGCTATTGCAGGCAACAACTGCATCTTCAGGAATAAGTTGAGAACTTAAAGATAACTGGATAATTTGAAAAACATAACTTTTCAGGATTGCTATTTGAAAGTTCAGACTTTTGGTACAAATTCAATTTTTGTTGTGATTGAAATGGATTCGGACCATGTATTTTTCGGTGTTTGTAGTTACCTGAAGTCCCCTTATGAACTGGAACCACTGTAGAACTAAAAATGTAAGTCCAAGTTTTTTTTTGTGGTATTTAGGCATTTCCAGACTAGTTTTGAGTTGAGCTTGTAGGCTTGAAACGGAGAGCTACCTGGCTATCTGTAGTCAGTTATTATTACAGTTGAACCCTTAAGATGTTAGTTTTTTTGTATGCAGATGTTTCTACGGCTAGCAAATTTGGCTAGAAAGATAGTTGTGGTGGATTCCAGGGCCATGTGGTGCTCATAGTTAGGACCCTTTATATATCACAGCATTTCAATAAAACCACCTAATTTTGACAATTTACAGGACTGCAGTGGTCAAGCCATTGTGCTGTCCAATCTCGTATCAAATCCCAGCGTTGCCCTTGGAATTTTATATGAAAATCCTTCCTATGTGACAGGAATTACTTTACTTTGTTATTCTTGTGATGTTGCAAATTTTGTAAGTCATGGACAATCACAAAGATTGTAAATTATGAGGTGTTTTGTTGGAAAATTCAATCAAATTGAAGATGGTGAAATGCCGAAACAGAAAAAACACATTCAAAACAACAAGATGATTACAGATAATCAAACTCCTGTATACTAAATGAGGATTAGTTTTTACTTTTTGTTAGATACCAAAGTTAAAAGAAAGAAAAAAAATGAAATATTGAGTGATGATATCTAACTTGCAAAAGCAAGCATTACATATAAATCAAACTGCAATAAAATCATAACGTCGTTAACTTCATTGCCAAACATGAACGAAATTGTGTAATTATTAAATAGGACACATTAAGAAATAGGTAATTTCTCGATGATAATCCATGAAGTGAAAATCACAAGAAAAAAACAACAACAATTTATTTGAAGAAAATTTTTTTAAAAAAAGACAACGTTCGTACAAATTTACAATGTACAAATTGAAATTAATAATGTGATATTAGAGATTTGATTTTTTTTTTGTAGTCTTTGGGGGATAATCAAGTTAATTAAATTAACTCAAAGTGTATATAAAAAGGTAGAGATTTTATCCTCCTATGAATTAAAGCTCCAGAAAGGTGTGTATAGTTTTTTAAAACTATATGCAACAAGAAATAATTATATGTTGTAAAGAATCTGTATACATATAATAATTTTAATAAGACGAGTATAAAATATTTAACAATTGAAATAAAATAATGGACAGGTACATTTTTGTACTAGTCATATAATCTGTCCCTTTTCACTAAAAAAATATTTATTACAAAAATTACTTGGATCGTTGGCCTACAGATTCAACTTCCGGCACCGTTCCACCTAGCCCCTAACTCTAAGGTTCCTTGAGCAACTTAAAAAAAAAAACTTTTTAACAATATGTTTAAAACATAAACAAAAAAATCAATGCACAATATTTAGATTAATGTAGATTATCACAAAAGAAACATTCATGATTGTAGGCAAGAAAACAATTGTTTGTTTGTAACATAACAATTTTTATATAGTTTTTATATTTTAGTTTTTTTTTTTTTTTTTTTAATTTAAATAATCTTCTTTTTTGTTCTTCACAGTACAATGTGCTGTTTTTTTTCTGTTTACATTTTGGAATTTTTAGACCAGAGATTTGTGATTAAAATAAATATTTTCTACATGCTTGCTTGATTTTTCATTCCATGAAGAAGTAAGATTTTAACAATAAATAATACAATCTCAAGCCTGTCTGGTCTATTATAAATAACTTTGGAATACAATGTCCATAAACAAATGAAACATTGGGCAAACAACATTTTGATTTATTTTCTATGACTAAAATTGAAATATAATTTGCAGAATCTTTTGTTAAATTGCATAGTTTTGAGTTTGAGGCGTCAAGAGACCAGAAAATAACTTTTTCGGATTGTTTTAAACCTTATGATAAATTTCACAATGTTAAGAACCTTATGCCACTCAAAGCCAAGTTAAAATTGTTTGGACAGTTGAAATTGTTTTGAAAAATGAGTATTTTTTAAAAATATTAATGATTTTGATTTTCTATTTGTTAAAAAACTATAGTTAAGATCATTTTTGAAGCTGTAAATATAAAATTGCACTACAATTAAATCCAATTTTATTCTAAAATGTCCTTCCATAAGATAATCACGTTTGTTGACTTTGATGGATTTTTCTCTCAAAATTTTTTCTATCCTGCAATTATTTTCAATTTTTGAATATTTCTCTATATAAAAATACACAAATAGCTGAATCTAAGGCACTTATATCACATTAATAGTTTTCATTTTAGAATTATGATTATTACACTAGTACAAATTGAACGTCTATAACAAACTTTTACAATGATCACTTTGTTTATATTAAAATCCTAATCATCTAACGTATATATGTACAAAAAAAATTTCTAAACTAATTGTAATAATAATACTCTTTGTATTAACATTAAGGTAGTCTTGATACATCAATGACTCTTACCTCGTGTTTTAACCGATTTACAATTGACTAAAATTCACCATAAGACATGCCTATTTACTACTCACACTGAGGTTTTATGTCTTATTTGTCAATAGTTTTTCGACTAGCACTAAAATACATTTTACTCTATTGTCTGAGCCAATTTTACAATTTAATATGATATTAGAAAGTATCTTGGCTTTTGTAAATATCCCAAGTTGAGCAAAAACTCATCACAGAAGTTTAATCCTCCAATGCAACAAAAACAAAATCACAAAGGAAAGCCTAAAGCTATTTTTTGTTTTTTTCATAAAGTGCAAATAACAACAGTGTTATTGATATGTATAAATATAAGAAAAATAAATATTCAGGAGAGCTGAAAAATAGCTATAAGGTTTTTCTTTGCACGCATTTCATTTAACCTGATATCAAATCACTTATATACATTAATTTTCAGGATTAAATGAAGTTTCTGCCATCGAAGGCTGATTCCGCAGCAATGTGTAAGAGTCTCGTAAAATGAGCAGCTTGTGCTGGCCGTTGACAAAGAAACTCGATCCCCTCCTGAGCTTAGATTTGCCCAATTCGACATTTTCTTTGGTGAAAACCATGGATCTGTATGTCCTGATGAACACACCCACGAGGATCAATGCTCCAAACGCCACTGTCACATATGAGCATAGTGGCACCAACCATTCAGCTAGGGTTGTAGATAGATAAATCCAACGTATCAAATAATCTGGAAGCTCTTCAGCACCCTGAAACAATTAAGTTGACATATATTAAAACATTAAAGAATTAAAGTTCTAACACTGAATTCAAAAGTCTCTTTTAGGGATGGCATTCCCTCGATGGCAAAACAGGTTATGCCCTTTTTGACCCTAAACATCAATACAAGGAACAACATTCGCTTCCAACTTCAATGTCTGTTTATACAACAGAACTAATTGTGATAGATAGCACTCTCGATTACATATGAAAATTGGGTGATTCTAAATTTTGCATTCTCACAGACTGTCGAAGCATCGTAGAAAGGAAAATAACATTACCCCAGAATATAAATGTAGAAACTATATTTTTGCCCAAATCTGTAGGAAAATGCTTGAGACAAAAATCATGGGAAAAAGGGTAGCATTGTGTTGGGTGAAAGGGCATGCAGGCTTATGGCAAAATGAAACGGTGGACGCACTTGCAAAGGAGGCTGCAACATCAGGTCCAACCCTTGACATTAAAATTCCTAAAGATGACGGGAAAAACTTTTTGGAAAAGTTTTGTAGAAATCTGTGGCAAGAAAAATACAATGCATCAAATGTCAGCAATAATTACAGGTCACTGTTCCCTGAGCTCAAGAAAAAACATGGTTTTCGGAAGGCGATAGCCCAGAAGGAATGTCAAAGGAGTTCTATTTTACTATTTTTAGACAGAAGACAAATCATGGCCTATGGTAGCTACAAGAAGAGAATCGGTTTGGCATCGTCTCTGAACTGTCCCACTTGCGATTGCCCTTCAAATCCTTCCCACGTAATTTTTGAATGTCCAGAATATGAAAATGAAAGAGACAAACTGCTAAAATATCTGAGCAAAGTCCCAATCATTTCCAAATTAATAAACTTAGAATCTGTCCTAATAAGCTACAATCCATCAGCTTTCAACGTAATCTATGGATTTCTAAACGTTTCTTTTTGATTATCTTCAACCATGAAAATTTAGATGATGAGAAGATGATGGAGCTGAATGAGTGAGTGCAGGCGTGCGGCGAGGACCTGGTCCTGGTCAGCCGATCCAGCTCGACAGTAAAATGAAAATAGAAAACTTCATGGGTAATATGCCAGCGTAAACCCCCCCCCCAAAAAAAAAGTCTCTTTTGAATAAATTATAAAATTGGATTTTGAATTTTTATTGCTTGGAGATGCCAGAATTTGAGGATTTATATATATAAAATTACTTCAAACTGGGTGGTTGAGTGGTTAGGATGTCCAACTCGTGGCACTCTAGCGGTTCTTGGTTTGAATCCTATCATAAGTTCATGGCTTTTGAATAGAGAATAGTTCAAAAAATATATTGCAAAGTGGTTTGACACCCAATAGGTGCGGATGTTAAGCCCTCCTGCATGACTGGAATTACTTCACTTATTTACTTTATAGCCTCAAGCCAATAATAATGATGATGATTTATCCATAGAGTTATAATATAAACAACACATGATATTTGTAACAAAAAATTTAGTAATTGTAAATTATATTGAAATACAATAAGAATTATTATTATTTTTTGGTGGTGTTTCAATGAATAAATTAAACTAATATTGCGGTGAGGTGGAATCTGCAGTTTGATCATCTCCGATCATCTTTGTTTGCTTATTTTGCTGATTTTGGTCCCGTTTTACTTTTAACAATTTTATAAAAATGGACTGACAAAATAACAGGACAACCACTGAAGATGGTGAAATACAGAAACCAGTGTGAATAAGCAGATCAGAAATGATCAAGAAACAAATAACATAATCATCAAAGCATTTCTATTATATAAAAGAAGCTTATGTGAAATGTTTACCTCCTCGACCCAAACAATAGGCATCATAATGCTTGGAAATTTTCTCGTGAGTCCTAGATTTGCCTGAGTTACTTTTAAATTGAGCTGAATCCTCACTCGAGCCTCCAATGGCACTCCAAGTTTCTGTCAATTAATCATCGTTAATACAGAAAAAAGGCTAGAAAATTAATTATTTTTAATAGCAATATCTAGTTACCTGTTGAATTTTTACAATTGTCTCATGCTTTTCCTTATTTGGATTGAGTCCTTCCACGGCATTTGTTATGCTTTCATCTTTCACTCCATAGAAATGAGGGTAGGATGTATAAACAGGTGCACCTATAATATTAGATATTTTGTAAGGATTTTTTTTTGTCTGGTGTGGAAGTTACAGCTTTATTAAAAAGAAAAAAAATATGCTTACCAAATTGACATGGGCTAATGTCCTGGAAACCATCAACTGGGCAGTCTTCACTACCAGGGCAATAACATTTATTGTCTTCATACGTATCACCCGAAGTGAATAAGTTATCATCAGGGGTGTAATGGCCGACTTTTATACCGTCTTTCACCTCATCGTATCTGTATCGAAGAGGCCATACTCGGCAGAGATCCTTATCAAAAATGTTAACTACATCTTCATGCGTTATATCTCGTGGTGGAAAAAAAGATCCTGAAAATATCGATGTTGAAGCTTGAAAATAGTACAACCAGATGCGAATTAATGTGTAGAATAAATACCTTCAGAAGCCCTTATGGAATTACAAGGGGCATCATCCCAGTACGGCAGATTGTCCAATCCGTTCAATTTATCAAGGAGGCCAAAATCTTTCATGCTCGTATGACCAGTATATATTGTCTCAATATCACTTATAAGAGTCGTATTTCGCTAAACAATCAATTTATAAATTTAGAAAGAGATCAAAGGGAATACCATAATTTGCAGTAAAAATATTTACCCCGAGCAAAAGACCCATTTTAGCAGGAGGCCGCATCCCCCTTGGGTAAAATTTATGAGCCAAATGCACGAGTTTTTCCTCATAACCAAAGAGTAGCTCATCAGGGGTTAAATGATTAAAAACAGACATTCCATAAAATGTTCTTAAAGCCATTGACAACGGAAATAACATGAATGAGGGTAGATTTGCTGTTTTGGACGACAAAGTCTGAAAACAAAAAACTTGCTAGCAATTACAGCGATAATATAGAAAACACTTGTTAACAATAAGTTAAATAACACTTAATAAAAGCTTTAATTGATTAAGTTATAATAAAATAATTTTCATGTTCACATACCAGTAATGGAATATTAGGGACAACCAATTTTATATCTTTCCTCAAAGATCTTTCTGGCACAAATTTGAGAATCTTTTTATGTTGAAAGCTAACCGTGCCGTTATCGTAGAACTGAACGTTCACCTTCTCCATATCTTCTCTGAAAAATAAAATAAAAGTTAATTGTATTCACTAATTTCATGATCCGCTTGACCAATTCATATATTACAATTAATTAATGTTTTTAGTTGAGATAAAAAAGTCAATGGCACGAGCGGGATTCGAACCCACAATCTTCAGCTAGATACGCCGCTGCTCTACCACTTAAGCTATCGTGACCTCGATTGAAAAATGGCAAAAAGGAGGGAAAATTCAAAAGGTGGAGTTAAGGTGGGAAGTTGGTGTCCAAGTGGATCGAGGTCACGATAGCTCAAGTGGTAGAACAGCGGCGTATCAAGCCGAAGATCATGGGTTCAAATCCCGCTCATGCCATTGACTTTTTTATCTCAACTAAAAACCTTAATTAATTGTTAATTGTATTATTTTTTCACTTTCTTAACAAAGTTGGGATTATAAAGTGACAGTAACAAATTGTGACACAAACAAAACAACTTTTTACCGTTTCATTGATTTTTTAATATTTTTATTGTGGTGAATACCAGAAACTGGAGGAGTTTCCCCTAAGCACTGTAGCACTAAATAGCTTATTGTACTTCTTCCTGGCTCCATTTTTAGGAGCTCGTGTGTGAATTGAGCCCCTGGTGTGCCGATGTTCTTGTATGAGAAAAACTCATTTTTGAATATGTTGGGGCCAAATTCAGAGTCGCTGATCCCGCTCCAGACATTCCAATGATGTGTGCCATGTTAATTTTCAATGGACCTCCATCTTAGGGGTCAGCAAAATGGAGTCAGTGGGAATCAAATCCATGAACGTGGGATCTACTAGCCAAAAGCCTGACGCCTTAACCATTCGGCTACAACGGCCCCCACTTGCATTAATTTTATATGTATTCAATTTTGAAAATAATGCCAGGCTGTAATTGGAGGAATATTGTCAAAATGAGATGAATGTTTAGAATTTTTTGTATTTTGACAACATGATGATTGTCTCCCACTTGGCTATTATTGTTTTAAATTATTGTTTTTAAAACGGGAGTTTCCCTGAGTTAAACTAAGTCTATTTGGAGTCAAAAGAATTAGACAAAATTGAGATGACCCTTAATAGTAACAACTGTTGTGTTCTGTGGGATATACCTCATAATAGTGAACACGAATAGCAAATTACTTGAAAAAAGGAAATAAAACAGGAAAACGTCTAGCAAATATTCTTCTCTTGTATAAAATTTATACAAGTTAAACTTTGAATTTCTGTCAAATATGTTTTAGATTTGTACTTGATCATCTTGATGATCAATGATGATTGGAAAATACCAAACTACACTGCAGAACAAAATATACTAAAAAATCTTAACTATTTCTTAAAATGAAATTATTCTTTTATTTTATTACTTATTTTCAAAAGAGTTGACAGAATACAGATTGTTGTTTAGGTCCTAATCATTAAAAATCATTTTATGAGCTGAGACTGGTTTGCAAGTCATAGGTACGCAATAATCTATCAACCCTTCAATCCTCCTAAATTGGCCTAATGTTGACCCTGGGGTCAAGGAAATCTGATTATTGTCACATTAAAGCTGATTTTCAAATTGTTTCCCTAGTAGTAATTAGCTAATGGTTTAATGATGATTACTCAGTTCTGTTTGAGCTTTTGACGTCAATCTTTTCCAAAATCATTATCCGGTATTGAATTTACTTAAATATTCTACGACAACAAATGAGAGATTCTGACGCCTGGACTATCAAAATGACATTTAATGTTCCGACAGTTTAAATTAAGAAACTACAAACACATAATCAGGGATATAAATTTGTTTAATTGTTAAAGAAGAACATCAATATTATTTTCAAATAGATGAAATATGGACTAAACAAATGGTCTAACATAAATAATTTTTTTAATAATTCAAATCAAGAAACTAAAAAACAAAACAAAAAAAAACAATTGTTTAAATTTGTTTTAATAATAAAGCAATTTGCATTTGAAATATTTAGGTTAAAAGGATGGTCTAACTAGGAATCGCGTTTGCCAGGTGATATGAACCTGTAACTTGATCTTCGTCGATCATCCTGGTCTACCTAGTCTTGTGACACACAATATTTAAAAAAAAAAATTACTGCCAAGAATGTTGTAAAAGATAAAATCAATGTTTATATAATATAGAAACCTAGCATTAAGTATATTTTGTGAAATATTGTATCAAAATTTGTGACGTTACTTGAACCTACAGTTTGATTATTGCCTATTCATCCTGGCCTACGTAATTTTGGAGATTGCTTCAAAATGTTAAAAAAATATTGAGTGTTTAGAATGTTCTGTAAATTAAAAAAATCGATTTAGATATAATGTATAAATCCAGTATCAAGTCAACCATTTTGAGATATTGTGCCGAGGTTGGCGAATTTGTTGAATAACCATTGCTGATCATCCTGGTCTACCTATTCTTAGGACTTATGATGTTTCACAAAACTTAATTAAGTACCAAAAATGCAAGAATGTTGTAGTAATTGCAAAAAAAAAAAAAAAAACGCAGATACAATACAGAAAAATGGGATAAAGTAATAATTTTGATGAGATATTATGTATATATGAACCTGTAGCTTGATCATTGCTGATAATCCTGGCCTATTCATGGAAACAGGTTCAAAATGTTCCATAAAACAAAATTATTTTTTGAGTGTTATGAATGTTGTACGAACTGAAAAAATCAATGTAGAGACAGGTGATGTACAAATCCAGTCAACAATTTTATGCTATTGTGTTGAGGTTAGCGAACTTGTTGCATAATCATTGCTGATGATCCTGGTCTACCTATTCTTGGGACTTATGATGTTTCACAAAACTAAATTGAATGTAAAGAATGTTGTAGAAATTGAAAAAAATAAAACTAAGGCAGAGACATACAGAAAAATGGGATAAAGTAATAATTTTGATATTATGTAAAGGTTGACGAGAAGACATGAACCTGTAACTTGATCATCCTGGTCTGTTCAAGGAAACAGGTTCAAAATGTTAAAAAAATTTTTTTTGAGCGTCATGAATGTTGTAGGAATAAAAAAAATCGATGAATATATTTGTATCAATTTTATAAGTGTTTTTCTCACTGGTTTTGTCTGCAAAACACGTTTCTGCGTTTAGTCAACCTCAGTGGTTGGTCAGCGCGTTATTTTATTGCTGTTTCTGACCAACTATATAAACTTTTGAATATTTAACGGCGAAAGTTGTTCCATTTGGATTAAAACGCTTAAACTGCAGTATTCGAATTCAACCCTAGTGCGTAGTGGGCTGTTAAAAAGTTCAGAGCGTTCACCGCCTCAGGGTGACTGTTGGTCAATGCACACGTTTTACCGGGAAGGCAGAAGCCTTTTTAATTTATATCTTCGGTATTTCCTGGGATATTCTGCATTTCTTGCCCAACTAAATTTGCCAATGCGTTATTGCGCAATACAATATTAAAATTTTGATAAAATGTGATTTTTCGTCACGGTTTGAAAAACGATTTCTCAAGGGTCAGACGGGCCCAGTCGTCTAAACCGCAAATTATTTTAAAGGTTACATCAATACCCACGGGTTTGGTAACACACTTTCGTGCTCATCTCGCACAGGTGAATGCAAAAGAATTTTCGAACGATTTCATACATTGATAATCAAATATAAAAAAAAAATCCTCCGCCTGGGAACTCTCTGCTCCTGCACCTTGACCCGTTTTATTAAAGTATAAAACATAGTTTCATTTTAATTAGCAAGCAGTAGGTTGAATATAGTGGGCTACACTTTGAATAAAACTACGCATGTAATAAATAATTCGTGCAAAATAAACTCAGTACTCAGAGAGATTTAGACACTCCACGGTCTTAGGATAGTTTATCGGCAATTTAATTATTTATTATTGGCCCGTATATTTTCCATGTTAATAATAAAAGCGTCTTTTGAAAGCCTGTGTGTTCGTCGGACATGCCCACTATACGTCAAAACTTCTTTCAATTAATTAATCTTTATGTAAGGTTTTTGTTGAGATAAAAAAGGCAGTGCCACGAGCGGGATTCGAACCCACGACCTTCGGCTAAATACGCCGCTGCTCTACCACTTGAGCTATCGTGACTTCGATCCACTCGGACACTAACTTCCCAACCCAACCACACCTTTCGAATTTTCCCTCCAAATTTATTGCCATTTTTCAAGTGTATGTATGTTTCAAATGTCGTGTAATCTCTATCATATGTCACGATAGCTCAAGTGGTAGAGCAGCGGCGTATTTAGCCGAAGGTCGTGGGTTCGAATCCCGCTCGTGACACTGGCTTTTTTATCTCAACCAACATCTTACATAAAGATTAATTAATTGAAAGATGTTTTTTGGTCAATCGGACCACGAAATCTAATAAATTTTAGCAAAAACGTCGAGCTTAGTACACAGAGATTAGGCGAACCAGAGACGGGCAAATTTCTAAATTTTGGTTAATAAATATTGATATTTATTCAATTATTTAATCTTTTTATGTAAGGTTTTGGTTGAAATGAAAAAGTTAGTGTCATGAGCGGGATCCGAACCCACGAACTTTGGCTACTCTAGCCACTTGAGCTACTACTTCGATCCACTCGGACACCAACCCCCCAGCCGAAGGCTGTGGGTTAGAATCCCGCTCGTGACACTAACTTTTTCATTTCAACCAAAACCTTACATAAAAAGATTAATTAATTGAAAGGAGTAATTTGGTCAATCAGAGCACTAAATATAATGGATTTAATATTGATATTGTTTAAACTTTTCATTTAAATTTCACACATCTGATATTTTCTTATTGCAGGAAGAAAACATGGATTTATTTATGTATCTACTACGATTTACAATTGACCAAATAATGGGCCAATTTTTCAATATTTTCGAATGAAAAAGAATGTTAGTAGTAAATTTAAATATAATAATTACGTTTTGATTAAAAAAAAACTTCCGGCAGAAATATTTCGTGACACAGATTAACAGCCGAACTTGTTTTTTTTTGTGTTCTGTTTCATCAAAATATTCGATAAAAGGAACAGGTTCG